GGTAGTAGAGAGTGATGTACATAGGGGGGGGGTTCGCGGCGCAGAATTCGGCAGGAAGCGCAGCGCGGTAGCGGGTGTCACTAGAGCGGAGGTGCGTGATGAGGTCAGCGACTGTGGAAAGAACGGCTAGGTCAGGGAACAGGTACGGCAGCATGAGGCGGCTAAGGGCAGCAGTGGCAGGGGAGGAGTAGCGCGCAACAACAGCGTCGTACAGAGTCCTAGCGGTCTTGTACTGGCTAAAGTGCGCGCGCTCAGCAGACGGCAGGTGACTGCGGACAGCTAGACGAGCAGCAGCATCGCGTGTGGTCCACTGTGAGCGAACTGTACTGTCAGCATTGGCAGCAGGGGCAACAGCTACGCTGGACGTGTGATCGAACAGTGAGACTCCGTCCCTAGAGTCACACTGCAGGAAAAGCTGCAGATTATCGACCCAGACCTCGAAATCGACCGCTCGACCCTCAGCATCGAAGGTAAGGACATTAGGGCTAGCCATGACAGCAGGAGCAGCAGCAGTAGCCTAGCAGCAGCAGCAGCAGCAGTAGGAGCAGTGCGACTCGGCGGGGCGGCGCGGCTCGCAAGGGTGGTGCGGGTGCGGCGGTGCGCTTACCAGGGCGGGATCGGGGTAGGGCCGCAACTAGAAGGGCAGGGCCGTGGCGCACGGGCAGTTCAGGGCCGCGTCAGGCAGGGGTGCAGGGCGGCGACGCGGGCGCAGGGTAGGGCCGCCAACGGCGGCGGTAGGCAGGGCCACGACTGCGGCTGTAGGAAGGGCCGCGGTAGCTACAGGCAGGGCCGCGACCTCGACAGGACAGGGCCGCGACGGCGGCAAGGCATGGCAGCGACAGGTCCAGGCAGGGCCGCGTACGGCAGGGAGGTAAGGCCGTGACGGCAGGGCGGCAGGGCCGAGACGGCAGGGCAGGGCCGCGACGGCTTAAGTCAGGGCCGCGACAGGAGGGCGGCAGAGCCGCGTCAGCAGGGCGGCAGGGCCGCGACGACGTCAGGCAGGGCCGCGACGGCAGGGGCCGCGACGGCAGGGGCCGCGACGGCAGGGGCCGTGACGGCAGGGGCCGCGACGGCAGAAGCCGCGACGGCAGAAGCCGCGACGGCAGGGGCCGCGACGGCAGGGGCCGAGACAGCAGGGCCGCGACGGCTCCAGTCAGGGCCGCGACGGCATGGCAGGCGCACGGGGCGCAGGTGAGGCAGGCGTGAGGCGTGCGAGACAGGGCAAGGAGCGCTCTTCGGGCAGGGCAGGAAAAAAAATATTAAGTGGTGGGCCCTAAAAAAAACGGTCCCACTAGGGAACCCGCTCTACACCATGTGAGAGAAGTACGAGGTATCAATTGACTAGAAAGTAGGTGGGTACAAGTATGAAAACCTAGAAGAGTTGTACCCCATATTGTCTAACCCACTACAGCCTACAATGCAGTTCTGACAGGAGAATGTGGCGGGGTGATGGAAAGCGGGAGAATGGGGCGGTGTGATGGAAAGCGGGAGAATGGGGCGGGGTGATGGAAAGCGGGAGAATGGGGTGGGGTGATGGAAAGCGGGAGAATGGGGTGGGGTGATGGAAAGCGGGAGAATGGTGCGGGGTGATGGAAAGCGGGAGAATGGGGCGGGGTGATGGAAAGCGGGAGAATGGGGCAGGGTGATGGAAAGCGGGAGAATGGGGCAAGGTGATGGAAGGAGGGAGAATGGGGCGGGGTGATGGAAGGAGGGAGAATGGGGCGGGGTGATGGAAAGCGGGAGAATAGGGCGGGGTGATGGGGCGGGGTGATGGAAAGCGGGAGATTGGGCCGGGGTGATGGAAAGCGGGAGAATGGAGCGGGGTGATGGAAAGCAGGAGAATGTGGCGGGGTGATGGAAAGCGGGGGAATGGGGCGGGGTGATGGAAGAAGGAAGAATGGGGCAAGGTGATGGAAGGAGGGAGAATGGGGCGAGGTGATGGAAAGCGGGAGAATGGGGCGGGGTGATGGAAAGCGGGAGAATGGAGCGGGCTGATGGAAAGCGGGAGAATGGGGCGGGGTGATGGAAAGCGGGAGAATGGGGCGAGGTGATGGAAAGCGGGTGAATGGGGCGGGGTGATGGAAAGCGGGAGAATGGGGCGGGGTGATGGAAAGCGAGAGAATGGGGCGGGGTAATGGAAGGAGGGAGAATGGGGCGGGGTGATGGAAGGAGGGAGAATGGGGCGGGGTGATAGAAGGAGGGTGAATGGGGCGGGGTGATGGAAAGCGGGAAAATGGGGCAGGGTGACGAAAAGCGGGAGAATGGGGCGGGGTGATGGAAAGCGGGAGAATAGGGCGGGGTGATGGAAAGCAGGAGAATGGGGCGGGGTGATGGAAAGCGGGAGAATGGGGCGGGGTGATGGAAAGCGGGAGAATGGGGCGGGGTGATGGAAAGCGGGAGAATGGGGCGGGGTGATGGAAAGCGGGAGAATGGGGCGGGGTGATGGAAGGAGGGAGAATAGGGCGAGGAGATGGAAGGAGAGAGAATGGGGCGGGGTGATGGAAAGCGGGAGAGTGGGGTGATGGAAAGCGGGAGAATGGGGCGGGGTGATGGAAGGAGGGAGAATGGGGCGGGGTGATGGAAAGCGGGAGGATGGGGCGGTGCGATGGAATGCGGGAGAATAGGGCGGGGTGATGGAAAGCGGGAGAATGGGGCGGGGTGATGGAAGGAGGGAGAATGGGGCGGGTTGATGGAAGGAGGGAGAATGGGGCGGGGTGATGGAAAGCGGGAGAATGGGGCGGGGTGATGGAAAGCGGGAGAATGGGGCGGGGTGATGGAAAGCGGGAGAATGGGGCGGGGTGATGGAAAGCGGTAGAATGGGGCGGGGTGATGGAAAGCGGGAGAATGGGGCGGGGTGATGGAAGGAGGGAGAATAGGGCGGGGTGATGGAAGGAGGGAGAATGGGGCGGGGTGATGGAAAGCGGGAGAGCATGGTGATGGAAAGCGGGAGAATGGGGCGGGGTGATGGAAGGAGGGAGAATGGGGCGGGGTGATGGAAAGCAGGAGAATGGGGCGGGGTGATGAAAAGCGGGAGAATGGGGCGGGGTGATGGAAAACGGGAGAATGGGGCGGGGTGATGGAAAGCGGAAGAATGGGGCGGGGTGATGGAAAGCGGGAGAATGGGGCGGGGTGATGGAAAGCGGGAGAATGGGGCGGGGTGATGGAAAGCGGGAGAATGGGGCAGGGTGATGGAAGGAGGGAGAATGGGGCGGGGTGATGGAAGGAGGGAGAATGGGGCGGGGTGATGGAAGAAGGGAGAATGGAGTGGGGTGATGGAAAGCGGGAGAATGGGGAGGGGTGATGGAAAGCGGGAGAATAGGGCGGGGTGATGGAAAGCGGGAGAATGGGGCGGGGTGATGGAAGGAGGGAGAATGGGGCGGGGTGATGGAAGGTGGGAGAATGGGGCGGGTTGATGGAAGGAGGGGAATGGGGCGGGGTGATGGAAAGCGGGAGAATGGGGCGGGGTGATGGAAAGCGGGAGAATGGGGCGGGGTGAAAAAAAGCGGGAGAATGGGGCGGGGTGATGGAAAGCGGGAGAATGGGGCGGGGTGATGGAAGGAGGGAGAATGGGGCAGGGTGATGGAAGGAGGGAGAATGGGGCGGGGTGATGGAAAGCGGGAGAATGGGGCGGGATGATGGAAAGCTGGAGAATGGGGCGGGGTGATGGAAAGCGGGAGAATGGGGCGGGGTGATGGAAAGCGGGAGAATGGGGCGGGGTGATGGAAAGCGGGAGAATGGGGCGGGATGATGGAAAGCGGGAGAACGGGGCGGGGTGATGGAAGGAGGAAGAATGGGGCGGGGTGATGGAAAGCGGGAGAATGGGGCGGGGTGATGGAAAGCGGGAGAATGGGGCGGGGTGATGGAAGGAGGGAGAATGGGGCGGGGTGATGGAAAGCGGGAGAATGGGGCGGGGTGATGGAAAGCGGGAGAATGGGGCGGGGTGATGGAAAGCGGGAGAATGGGGCAGGGTGATGGAAGGAGGGAGAATGGGGCGGGGTGATGGAAGGAGGGAGAATGGAGCGGGGTGGTGGAAGGAGGGAGAATGGAGTGGGGTTATGGAAAACGGGTTAATGGAGCGGGGTGATGGAAAGCGGGAAAATGGGGCGGGGTGATGGAAAACGGGAGAATAGGGCGGGGTGATAGAAAGTGGGAGAATGGGGCGGGGTGATGGAAGGAAGGAGAATGGGGCGGGGTGATGGAAAGCGGGAGGATGGGGCGGTGTGATGGAATGCGGGAGAATAGGGCGGGGTAATGGAAAGTGGGAGAATGGGGCGGGGTGATGGAAGGAAGGAGAATGGGGCGGGGTGATGGAAGGTGGGAGAATGGGGCGGGGTGATGGAAAGCGGGAGAATGGGGCGGGGTGATGGAAGGAGGGAGAATGGGGCGGGGTGATGGAAGGAGGGAGAATGGGGCGGGGTGATGGAAAGCGGAAGAATGGGGCGGGGTGATGGAAAGCGGGAGAATGGGGCGGGGTGATGGAAAACGGGAGAATGGGGCGGGGTGATGGAAAGCGGTAGAATGGGGCGGGGTGATGGAAAGCGGGAGAATGGGGCGGGGTGATGGAAGGAGGGAGAATAGGGCGGGGTGATAGAAGGAGGGAGAATGGGGCGGGGTGATGGAAAGCGGGAGAGCATGGTGATGGAAAGCGGGAGAATGGGGCGGGGTGATGGAAGGAGGGAGAATGGGGCGGGGTGATGGAAAGCAGGAGAATGGGGCGGGGTGATGAAAAGCGGGAGAATGGGGCGGGGTGATGGAAAACGGGAGAATGGGGCGGGGTGATGGAAAGCGGAAGAATGGGGCGGGGTGATGGAAAGCGGGAGAATGGGGCGGGGTGATGGAAAGCGGGAGAATGGGGCGGGGTGATGGAAAGCGGGAGAATGGGGCAGGGTGATGGAAGGAGGGAGAATGGGGCGGGGTGATGGAAGGAGGGAGAATGGGGCGGGGTGATGGAAGGAGGGAGAATGGAGCGGGGTGATGGAAAGCGGGAGAATGGAGTGGGGTTATGGAAAGCGGGAGAATGGGGCGGGGTGATGGAAGGAAGGAGAATGGGGCGGGGTGATGGAAGGTGGGAGAATGGGGCGGGGTGATGGAAAGCGGGAGAATGGGGCGGGGTGATGGAAGGAGGGAGAATGGGGCGGGGTGATGGAAGGAGGGAGAATGGGGCGGGGTGATGGAAAGCGGGAGAATGGGGCGGGGTGATGGAAAGCGGGAGAATGGGGCGGGGTGATGGAAGGAGGGAGAATGGAGCGGGGTGATGGAAAGCGGTAGAATGGGGCGGGGTGATGGAAAGCGGGAGAATGGGGCGGGGTGATGGAAGGACGGAGAATAGGGCGGGGTGATAGAAGGAGGGAGAATGGGGCGGGGTGATGGAAAGCGGGAGAATGGGGCAGGGTGATGGAAGGAGGGAGAATGGGGCGGGGTGATGGAAGGAGGGAGAATGGAGCGGGGTGGTGGAAGGAGGGAGAATGGAGTGGGGTTATGGAAAACGGGTTAATGGAGCGGGGTGATGGAAAGCGGGAAAATGGGGCGGGGTGATGGAAAACGGGAGAATAGGGCGGGGTGATGGAAAGTGGGAGAATGGGGCGGGGTGATGGAAGGAAGGAGAATGGGGCGGGGTGATGGAAAGCGGGAGGATGGGGCGGTGTGATGGAATGCGGGAGAATAGGGCGGGGTAATGGAAAGTGGGAGAATGGGGCGGGGTGATGGAAGGAAGGAGAATGGGGCGGGGTGATGGAAGGTGGGAGAATGGGGCGGGGTGATGGAAAGCGGGAGAATGGGGCGGGGTGATGGAAGGAGGGAGAATGGGGCGGGGTGATGGAAGGAGGGAGAATGGGGCGGGGTGATGGAAAGCGGGAGAATGGGGCGGGGTGATGGAAAGCGGGAGAATGGGGCGGGGTGATGGAAAACGGGAGAATGGGGCGGGGTGATGGAAAGCGGTAGAATGGGGCGGGGTGATGGAAAGCGGGAGAATGGGGCGGGGTGATGGAAGGAGGGAGAATAGGGCGGGGTAATAGAAGGAGGGAGAATGGGGCGGGGTGATGGAAAGCGGGAGAATGGGGCGGGGTGATGGAAGGAGGGAGAATGGGGCGGGGTGATGGAAGGTGGGAGAATGGGGCGGGTTGATGGAAGGAGGGGAATGGGGCGGGGTGATGGAAAGCGGGAGAATGGGGCGGGGTGATGGAAAGCGGGAGAATGGGGCGGGGTGAAAAAAAGCGGGAGAATGGGGCGGGGTGATGGAAAGCGGGAGAATGGGGCGGGGTGATGGAAGGAGGGAGAATGGGGCAGGGTGATGGAAGGAGGGAGAATGGGGCGGGGTGATGGAAAGCGGGAGAATAGGGCGGGATGATGGAAAGCTGGAGAATGGGGCGGGGTGATGGAAAGCGGGAGAATGGGGCGGGGTGATGGAAAGCGGGAGAATGGGGCGGGGTGATGGAAGGAGGGAGAATGGGGCGGGGTGATGGAAGGTGGGAGAATGGGGCGGGTTGATGGAAGGAGGGGAATGGGGCGGGGTGATGGAAAGCGGGAGAATGGGGCGGGGTGATGGAAAGCGGGAGAATGGGGCGGGGTGAAAAAAAGCGGGAGAATGGGGCGGGGTGATGGAAAGCGGGAGAATGGGGCGGGGTGATGGAAGGAGGGAGAATGGGGCAGGGTGATGGAAGGAGGGAGAATGGGGCGGGGTGATGGAAAGCGGGAGAAAAGGGCGGGATGATGGAAAGCTGGAGAATGGGGCGGGGTGATGGAAAGCGGGAGAATGGGGCGGGGTGATGGAAAGCGGGAGAATGGGGCGGGGTGATGGAAAGCGGGAGAATGGGGCGGGATGATGGAAAGCGGGAGAACGGGGCGGGGTGATGGAAGGAGGAAGAATGGGGCGGGGTGATGGAAAGCGGGAGAATGGGGCGGGGTGATGGAAAGCGGGAGAATGGGGCGGGGTGATGGAAAACGGGAGAATGGGGCGGGGTGATGGAAAGCGGGAGAATGGGGCGGGGTGATGGAAAGCGGGAGAATGGGGCGGGGTGATGGAAAGCGGGAGAATGGGGCAGGGTGATGGAAGGAGGGAGAATGGGGCGGGGTGATGGAAGGAGGGAGAATGGAGCGGGGTGGTGGAAGGAGGGAGAATGGAGTGGGGTTATGGAAAACGGGTTAATGGAGCGGGGTGATGGAAAGCGGGAGAATGGGGCGAGGTGATGGAAAACGGGAGAATAGGGCGGGGTAATGGAAAGTGGGAGAATGGGGCGGGGTGATGGAAGGAAGGAGAATGGGGCGGGGTGATGGAAGGTGGGAGAATGGGGCGGGGTGATGGAAAGCGGGAGAATGGGGCGGGGTGATGGAAGGAGGGAGAATGGGGCGGGGTGATGGAAGGAGGGAGAATGGGGCGGGGTGATGGAAAGCGGGAGAATGGGGCGGGGTGATGGAAAGCGGGAGAATGGGGCCGGATGATGGAAAGCGGGAGAATGGGGCGGGGTGATGGAAAGCGGGAGAATGGGGCGGGGTGATGGAAAGCGGGAGAATGGGGCGGGGTGATGGAAAGCGGGAGAATGGGGTGGGATGATGGAAAGCGGGAGAACGGGGCGGGGTGATGGAAGGAGGAAGAATGGGGCGGGGTGATGGAAAGCGGGAGAATGGGGCGGGGTGATGGAAAGCGGGAGAATGGGGCGGGGTGATGGAAAACGGGAGAATGGGGCGGGGTGATGGAAAGCGGGAGAATGGGGCGGGGTGATGGAAAGCGGGAGAATGGGGCGGGGTGATGGAAAGCGGGAGAATGGGGCAGGGTGATGGAAGGAGGGAGAATGGGGCGGGGTGATGGAAGGAGGGAGAATGGGGCAGGGTGATGGAAGGAGGGAGAATGGAGCGGGGTGGTGGAAGGAGGGAGAATGGAGCGGGGTGGTGGAAGGAGGGAGAATGGAGCGGGGTGATGGAAAGCGGGAGAATGGGGCGAGGTGATGGAAAACGGGAGAATAGGGCGGGGTGATGGAAAGTGGGAGAATGGGGCGGGGTGATGGAAGGAAGGAGAATGGGGCGGGGTGATGGAAGGTGGGAGAATGGGGCGGGGTGATGGAAAGCGGGAGAATGGGGCGGGGTGATGGAAGGAGGGAGAATGGGGCGGGGTGATGGAAGGAGGGAGAATGGGGCGGGGTGATGGAAAGCGGGAGAATGGGGCGGGGTGATGGAAAGCGGGAGAATGGGGCCGGGTGATGGAAAGCGGGAGAATGGGGCGGGGTGATGGAAAGCGGGAGAATGGGGCGGGGTGATGGAAAGCGGGAGAATGGGGCGGGGTGATGGAAAGCGGGAGAATGGGGCGGGATGATGGAAAGCGGGAGAACGGGGCGGGGTGATGGAAGGAGGAAGAATGGGGCGGGGTGATGGAAAGCGGGAGAATGGGGCGGGGTGATGGAAAGCGGGAGAATGGGGCGGGGTGATGGAAAACGGGAGAATGGGGCGGGGTGATGGAAAGCGGGAGAATGGGGCGGGGTGATGGAAAGCGGGAGAATGGGGCGGGGTGATGGAAAGCGGGAGAATGGGGCAGGGTGATGGAAGGAGGGAGAATGGGGCGGGGTGATGGAAGGAGGGAGAATGGGGCGGGGTGATGGAAGGAGGGAGAATGGAGCGGGGTGGTGGAAGGAGGGAGAATGGAGTGGGGTTATGGAAAACAGGTTAATGGAGCGGGGTGATGGAAAGCGGGAGAATGGGGCGGGGTGATGGAAAGCGGGAGAATGGGGCGGGGTGATGGAAAGCGGCCGGGCTTCAATGGCCCTCGGCCGAGGTCGAGCACCCTCGGCCGGGCCTCAATGGCCCTCGGCCGAGGTCGAGCACCCTCGGCCGGGCCTCAATGGCCCTCGGCCGAGGTCGAGCTCCCTCGGCCGGGCCTCAATGGCCCTCGGCCGAGGTCGAGCACCCTCGGCCGGGCCTCAATGGCCCTCGGCCGAGGTCGAGCACCCTAGGCCGGGCCTCAATGGCCCTCGGCCGAGGTCGAGCACCCTCGGCCGGGCCTCAATGGCCCTCGGCCGAGGTCGAGCACCCTCGGCCGGGCCTCAATGGCCCTCGGCCGAGGTCGAGCACCCTCGGCCGGGGCCTCAATGGCCCTCGGCCGGGCTTCAATGTTCCTCGGCCGAGGTCAAGCACCCTCGGCCAGGCTTCATTGGCCCTCGGCCGAGGTCAAGCACCCTCGGCCGGGCTTGAATGGTCCTCGGCCGAGGCCATGCACCCTCGGCCGGGCTTGAATGGCCCTCGGCCGAGGCCATGCACCCTCGGCCGCGCTTCAAAGGCCCTCGGCCGAGGTCATGCACCCTCGGCCGCGCTTCAATGGCCCTCCGCCGAGGTCAAGCACCCTCGGCCGGGCTTCTATGACCCTCGGCCGAGGTCAAGCACCCTCGGCCGAGGTCGAGCACCCTCGGCCGGGCCTGAATGGCCCTCGGCCGAGGTCAAGCACCCTCGGCCGGGCCTCAATGGCCCTCGGCCGAGGTCAAGCACCTTAGGCCGGGCCTCAATGGCCCTCGGCCGAGGTCAAGCACCCTGGGCCGGGCCTCAATGGCCCTCGGCCGAGGTCAAGCACCCTCGGCCGGGCCTCAATGGCCCTCGGCCGAGGTCAAGCACCCTCGGCCGGGCCTCAATGGCCCTCGGCCGAGGTCAAGCACCCTCGGCCGGGCCTCAATGGCCCTCGGCCGAGGTCAAGCACCCTCGGCCAAACCTCAATGGCCCTCGGCCGAGGTCAAGCACCCTCGGCCGGGCCTCAAAGGCCCTAGGCCGAGGTCAAGCACCCTCGGCCGGGCCTCAATGGCCCTCGGCCGAGGTCAAGCACCCTCGGCCGGGCCTCAATGGCCCTCGGCCGAGGTCAAGCACCCTCGGCCGGGCTTGAATGTCCCTCGGCCGAGGTCAAGCACCCTCGGCCGGGGCTCAATGGCCGTCGGCCGAGGTCAAGCACCCTCGGCCGGGCCTCAATGGCCCTCGGCCGAGGTGAAGCACCCTCGGCCGGGCTTCAATGGCCCTCGGCCGGGCTTCAATGGCCCTCGGCCGAGGTCAAGCACATTCGGCCGGGCCTCAATGGCCCTCGGCCGAGGTCAAGCACATTCGGCCGGGCCTCAATGGCCCCTCGGCCGAGGTCAAGCACCCTCGGCCGGGCTTCAATGGCCCTCGGCGGAGGTCAAGAAGCCTCGGCCGGGCTTCAATGGCCCTCGGCCGAGGTCGAGCACCCTCGGCCGGGCCTCAATGGCCCACGGCCGAGGTCGAGCACCCTCGGCCGGGCCTCAATGGCCCTCGGCCGAGGTCGAGCACCCTCGGCCGGGCTTGAATGGCCCTCGGCCGAGGCCATGCACCCTCGGCCGCGCTTCAAAGGCCCTCGGCCGAGGCCATGCACCCTCGGCCGCGCTTCAAAGGCCCTCGGCCGAGGCCATGCACCCTCGGCCGCGCTTCAAAGGCCCTCGGCCGAGGCCATGCACCCTCGGCCGCGCTTCAATGGCCCTCGGCCGAGGCCAAGAAGCCTCGGCCGGGCCTCAATGGCCCTCGGCCGAGGTCAAGCAGCCTCGGCCGGGCCTCAATGGCCCTCGGCCGAGGTCAAGCAGCCTCGGCCGGGCCTCAATGGCCCTCGGCCGAGGCCACGCACCCTCGGCCGCGCCTCAATGGCCCTCGGCCGAGGTCGAGCACCCTCGGCCGCGCCTCAATGGCCCTCGGCCGAGGTCGAGCACCCTCGGCCGCGCCTCAATGGCCCTCGGCCGAGGTCGAGCACCCTCGGCCGGGCCTCCATGGCCCTCGGCCGAGGTCGAGCACCCTCGGCCGGGCCTCCATGGCCCTCGGCCGAGGTCGAGCACCCTCGGCCGGCCTCGATGGCCCTCGGCCGAGGCCGAGCACCCTCGGCCGGCCTCGTTGGCCCTCGGCCGAGGCCGAGCACCCTCGGCCGGCCTCGATGGCCCTCGGCCGAGGCCGAGCACCCTCGGCCGGCCTCGATGGCCCTCGGCCGAGGCCGAGCACCCTCGGCCGGCCTCGATGGCCCTCGGCCGAGGCCGAGCACCCTCGGCCGGCCTCGATGGCCCTCGGCCGAGGCCGAGCACCCTCGGCCGGCCTCGATGGCCCTCGGCCGAGGCCGAGCACCCTCGGCCGGCCTCGATGGCCCTCGGCCGAGGCCGAGCACCCTCGGCCGGCCTCGATGGCCCTCGGCCGAGGCCGAGCACCCTCGGCCGGCCTCGATGGCCCTCGGCCGAGGCCGAGCACCCTCGGCCGGCCTCGATGGCCCTCGGCCGAGGCCGAGCACCCTCGGCCGGCCTGAATGGCCCTCGGCCGAGGCCGAGCACCCTCGGCCGGCCTGAATGGCCCTCGGCCGAGGCCGAGCACCCTCGGCCGGGCTGAATGGCCCTCGGCCGAGGCCGAGCACCCTCGGCCGGGGCTGAATGGCCCTCGGCCGAGGCCGAGCACCCTCGGCCGGCCTGAATGGCCCTCGGCCGGCCTGAATGGCCCTCGGCCGAGGCCGAGCACCCTCGGCCGGCCTGAATGGCCCTCGGCCGAGGCCGAGCACCCTCGGCCGGGGCTGAATGGCCCTCGGCCGAGGCCGAGCACCCTCGGCCGGGGCTGAATGGCCCTCGGCCGGGGCCGAGCACCCTCGGCCGGGGCTGAATGGCCCTCGGCCGGGGCCGAGCACCCTCGGCCGGGGCTGAATGGCCCTCGGCCGAGGCCGAGCACCCTCGGCCGGGGCTGAATGGCCCTCGGCCGGGCCGGAGCGGCCCTCGGCCGGGGCTGAATGGCCCTCGGCCGAGGCCGAGCACCCTCGGCCGGGGCTGAATGGCCCTCGGCCGAGGCCGAGCACCCTCGGCCGGGCCTGAATGGCCCTCGGCCGAGGCCGAGCACCCTCGGCCGGGCCTGAATGGCCCTCGGCCGAGGCCGAGCACCCTCGGCCGGGCCTGAATGGCCCTCGGCCGAGGCCGAGCACCCTCGGCCGGGCCTGAATGGCCCTCGGCCGAGGCCGAGCACCCTCGGCCGGGCCTGAATGGCCCTCGGCCGAGGCCGAGCACCCTCGGCCGGGCCTGAATGGCCCTCGGCCGAGGCCGAGCACCCTCGGCCGGGCCTGAATGGCCCTCGGCCGAGGCCGAGCACCCTCGGCCGGGCCTGAATGGCCCTCGGCCGAGGCCGAGCACCCTCGGCCGGGCCTGAATGGCCCTCGGCCGAGGCCGAGCACCCTCGGCCGGGCCTGAATGGCCCTCGGCCGAGGCCGAGCACCCTCGGCCGGGCCTGAATGGCCCTCGGCCGAGGCCGAGCACCCTCGGCCGGGCCTGAATGGCCCTCGGCCGAGGCCGAGCACCCTCGGCCGGGCCTGAATGGCCCTCGGCCGAGGCCGAGCACCCTCGGCCGGGCCTGAATGGCCCTCGGCCGAGGCCGAGCACCCTCGGCCGGGCCTGAATGGCCCTCGGCCGAGGCCGAGCACCCTCGGCCGGGCCTGAATGGCCCTCGGCCGAGGCCGAGCACCCTCGGCCGGGCCTCAATGGCCCTCGGCCGAGGCCGAGCACCCTCGGCCGGGCCTGAATGGCCCTCGGCCGAGGCCGAGCACCCTCGGCCGGGCCTGAATGGCCCTCGGCCGGGCCTGAATGGCCCTCGGCCGAGGCCGAGCACCCTCGGCCGGGCCTGAATGGCCCTCGGCCGAGGCCGAGCACCCTCGGCCGGGCCTGAATGGCCCTCGGCCGAGGCCGAGCACCCTCGGCCGGGCCTGAATGGCCCTCGGCCGAGGCCGAGCACCCTCGGCCGGGCCTGAATGGCCCTCGGCCGAGGCCGAGCACCCTCGGCCGGGCCTCAATGGCCCTCGGCCGAGGCCGAGCACCCTCGGCCGGGCCTGAATGGCCCTCGGCCGAGGCCGAGCACCCTCGGCCGGGCCTGAATGGCCCTCGGCCGAGGCCGAGCACCCTCGGCCGGGCCTGAATGGCCCTCGGCCGAGGCCGAGCACCCTCGGCCGGGCCTGAATGGCCCTCGGCCGAGGCCGAGCACCCTCGGCCGGGCCTGAATGGCCCTCGGCCGAGGCCGAGCACCCTCGGCCGGGCCTGAATGGCCCTCGGCCGAGGCCGAGCACCCTCGGCCGGGCCTGAATGGCCCTCGGCCGAGGCCGAGCACCCTCGGCCGGGCCTGAATGGCCCTCGGCCGAGGCCGAGCACCCTCGGCCGGGCCTCAATGGCCCTCGGCCGAGGCCGAGCACCCTCGGCCGGGCCTCAATGGCCCTCGGCCGAGGCCGAGCACCCTCGGCCGGGCCTCAATGGCCCTCGGCCGAGGCCGAGCACCCTCGGCCGGGCCTCAATGGCCCTCGGCCGAGGCCGAGCACCCTCGGCCGGGCCTCAATGGCCCTCGGCCGAGGCCGAGCACCCTCGGCCGGGCCTCAATGGCCCTCGGCCGAGGCCGAGCACCCTCGGCCGGGCCTCAATGGCCCTCGGCCGAGGCCGAGCACCCTCGGCCGGGCCTCAATGGCCCTCGGCCGAGGCCGAGCACCCTCGGCCGGGCCTCAATGGCCCTCGGCCGAGGCCGAGCACCCTCGGCCGGGCCTCAATGGCCCTCGGCCGAGGCCGAGCACCCTCGGCCGGGCCTCAATGGCCCTCGGCCGAGGCCGAGCACCCTCGGCCGGGCCTCAATGGCCCTCGGCCGAGGCCGAGCACCCTCGGCCGGGCCTCAATGGCCCTCGGCCGAGGCCGAGCACCCTCGGCCGGGCCTCAATGGCCCTCGGCCGAGGCCGAGCACCCTCGGCCGGGCCTGAATGGCCCTCGGCCGAGGCCGAGCACCCTCGGCCGGGCCTGAATGGCCCTCGGCCGAGGCCGAGCACCCTCGGCCGGGCCTGAATGGCCCTCGGCCGAGGCCGAGCACCCTCGGCCGGGCCTGAATGGCCCTCGGCCGAGGCCGAGCACCCTCGGCCGGGCCTGAATGGCCCTCGGCCGAGGCCGAGCACCCTCGGCCGGGCCTGAATGGCCCTCGGCCGAGGCCGAGCACCCTCGGCCGGGCCTGAATGGCCCTCGGCCGAGGCCGAGCACCCTCGGCCGGGCCTGAATGGCCCTCGGCCGAGGCCGAGCACCCTCGGCCGGGCCTGAATGGCCCTCGGCCGAGGCCGAGCACCCTCGGCCGGGCCTGAATGGCCCTCGGCCGAGGCCGAGCACCCTCGGCCGGGCCTGAATGGCCCTCGGCCGAGGCCGAGCACCCTCGGCCGGGCCTGAATGGCCCTCGGCCGAGGCCGAGCACCCTCGGCC